CTCTGAACAAATCCAGGAAACGCCTGCATATCTCAGTTTTCCAAAGTCCAACTCCAGTACGAAACAACAATCGCAACTTAACCGTCCACTGACCCCCCATCGTGTACAATGTTCAGTGTCAGAGATTGTAGCCCTTGTAGTACACTGCAGACTAGCGGTCCGCGATTTTCCAAACGATCCTTCTATCATCGAGATCGGTGCGCAACAAGCAGTGTTTTTGAATCTGTTGCGCTGTCCGATTTTGAAAGGCCTCAAGCACCATGGCTTATGGCTAGACCTACGTATACTGTACATGACCCAGGCATTTATATCGACTATGGCGACGAGTAGGACACTTGAGGGAAGAGCTGCGCTGAAGTTCGCGGCCCCACACACTCACAGGCGCTGATTCGCCGTTGCTGTGTGCTTGAAGCGATTCAAAATCGGAACGCACAGCAGGTTCAATATTCCTGCTTGTTGCACACCATTGAAGGATCGTTTGGAAAATCGCGGACCGCTAGTCTGCAGTGTATCACAAGGGCTACAATCTCTGACACTAACATTGTACATGGGGGGGGGTCAGCGGACGGTTAAGTTGCGATTGTAGTTTCGTACTGGAGTTAGACTTTGGAAAACTGAGATATGCAGGCGTTTCCTGGATTTGTTCAGAGAAGTTCCGGAGATCCCCCCTCCGTCCTCAGGACTATTTTCTTGTAGATAAAGATGGATTCGTTGTGTTATACACAGTTCTAAGAACAACAAAAAAAAACACATTCGTTTCCTGCTCTGTTTTGCTCTGCCCTGCCCCAGCCCTTCTCTGTTGTTGCCTGTTGCTTGCTCCCTCCCTCCCTCCCTCATCCCGGCTCTCTCTTTTTTTGCCTCTCTGTGACCATCCGTGACCTGCGGCTTAACAACTGCATGGATTGTCACATTGACCAAACTGCGACTTGACAGCAGTACCGCTGTCGGTGACGTAAGATAGCACACCCCCGGCAACGATTGTCAAACCTCGATTGCTCCATGACGACGAGGATGCCTAAACCAAACGATAGGTTTTCTGAGAAACTCTTGACGAGACGGTGCCAACGCCACCTTGTTTCGTTGCCTCCACACTTTTTGCTGTGCCGCAATCAAGCTTTGAAAATCTGTGCAAGGGGTGTGATCCTTGTGTTAGCTAAGGTAGACTTGAATCACAACCCGAGAACAAAACGAACGTATGTTGGAGTGTAGAGGTGAATCCGGCCTTGGAGCAGCAAGCAACTTTTTTGGGAAATTAATTATTAATACAGCACTGCTTCTCCTCTACTGCTGTTGTGCGTCCCCCCCCAGTGCGGCCTAACTTGAATGTAGCGAACAGATATGGAATTCGATATCCTGCATACAAGCCCGTGATACGGGTTATCCTTGATAACGTGTGAATACTGTTGGACCGTTGCTTCTTGCGTGCATGTTTTTACGTATGCACAGACTTTTCGGCGTCTGGCCTCGGTAGCATGAGCAACGGCGGCGTTTCGGCTTCGAGCAGGGTGTGGGGCACGGTGAATGGACAAGAGGTAAGACAGCGTTTCGAGGTGGCACCCAAGGTCTTTTTTTTTCGAGCAGGTCGCGTGCCTTCCACCGCCCTCGAACTAGTTCATGCGCTGCGGTCAGTCGCTCTGAGGCCCACAAAGTTCGCTCCTCACGCGAGATGGGGTATGGAGTATGCGGTTGGTGGACATTCGTGCGCTATCGCTTGCGCACCGGCCAAAGATATTACTATACCAGCCAGGCGCTACGGTAAGATCCGGGTGTCCGGTGCGATCGCCGGGCAACAAGCAGTGGGCGTACAAGGAGCTCGGGAGCACCCCTGAACTCGGGCTTATTGCATGATTTTTCCCATCAGGTTTACCGCATTGACCTCGACACGACCGAAGGCTTCGGTGTAAGCTTCACCACGTACGGGGCAACTCTACTGTCTGTGCGCTCCGGGGACAGGGATGGCGCAATAGAAGAGGTAAGCTGTAATTTATCCGCTCCGCTTATCTCGTGCGTTGTGCGCCAGTTTGCCCTCGCGTAGTGGGCTTTCGTATTGTCCAAACTCTGTTGCAATTGAACCGTAGGATTTTTTTATTTACCCTGTCGCGTCGCTTTCAGCGTGCTGCAGGAGATTTAGGTCGAGGCACAACGAATGCCCTAGTGTGGACATGAGTCCCAGCTCGGGGATACACGCGCGCTCCCATGGAGCCCCTTCGGCCTCGCTTCGATCCGGCGAAAAACGCTCGGCTTTAGGAAGATACCCCCTGTTACATCCATCCGTAATTGTGTTGATCTTGCGAAGCTCTGAACGATTGGCATCACAGGAATTTATATTCAGCGCTTGCCGACAGCAGATGAACTGCCTGGCGTGTCCGCGTATCTCGTTCCCGAACAAAACCGTGTGGCGCCTCGTCCGGAGGGCGGAGCCACTGATACTTACGGCGCTGTCGGTGGTCCAATGCCCGAACAACAGCTGAAGGTCAACCCCCCCCTCCCTGAGCAGGTGGTTCAGTGAAGCGTGATACCGACCCTACCTACTCTCGCTTGCTTTGCCTACCCGTAGGTGACCCTGCAGCACGACACGTTGGAGGGGGTGGTGGCCGGAGACGCGTACTACGGCTCAACAGTCGGACGAGTCTGCAACCGCATCGTGGGAGCCTCGTTTTCGGGTGGGTCTAGTGCACTATGTATCCCGCACTAACTTTCCATTGCAGCAGCCCCCATCGCGACCCCACTGTCCTTCTCTGTTTTATTGGGGTTTTGTCGCTTGGGACTGCATGCGTTTTTTTTTGCGTCGGTCGCGTTTACGGGCTGACCAATGTAAAGGGGGTGTGTTGTCAGCGTTGGTTTCGAGGCTGTCTGCGTTCCGGACAGAGAAAGTCGGGGCGGAATATCAGCTCCCCGCAATAGATGCAGTGGGGTCTCCGCCGCCGCGTTGGATGGTTACATCACGAGTGTGCCGGCAGCGCACAGTTGACTTCAATCTCGATTGTTTCGTTTCCCCCACACGCAATGTCTGTCCCTCTGTCAACGGGAAAGACGTTCACCGCACGGCTTTCGATCGGCAGAGGCTTTGCAAGAGTACCAGCACATCAACCTCCCCGCAACGCTCTAGATTGGCGCTTCGGTCTGAAGATTCCGGCACCAGCACCAGTACCACGAAAAGTAGGAATTCACGCATGAGTATTCCACCCTTTCGTTTGTTTTTTGGGAGGCCCGTGTCGTCCTCCTTACCTACCCCCCACCCCCACCCCCCAATCTGGACTTTAGTGGGTTGGCGCTGTTGGCAAAGCGCTGTAAATCACGCCACCCCAAATATAGCCCCCATAGTATGCGCTACCAAAGACGCGTGACGCATGGATGCGTGAAGGTAGGATAGCTTACGGAAACCTCACAGGTTGAGTGATTTTGCTGTTTACCGAAACCCCAAGGGTTGAGTGAGGTTTGCGATTGCCAGACACATGGACGGGTTGAGTGGGGATAGCTGCATACTGGAACCCCACGGTTTGAGTGATGTTGGATAGTGCCAGACACATGGACGCGCTGAGCGGGGATAGCTAAATACTGAAACCTCACAGGTGATTTGTATTGGAGATTGCCGGACACCTAGACGTGTTGAGTGAAGATAGCTGCATGCTGAAACCTCACAGATGGATTGGATTTTGAGTCTGCCAGACACATAGACGCGCTAGGTGGGGATAGCTACATACTGAAACCTCACGAGTTGAGTGATGTTGGATAGTGCCGGACACATAAACGCTTTGAGTGAGGAAAGACACATACCGGAACCTCACAGGTGATTTGTATTGGAGATTGCCGGACACCCAGACGCGTTGAGTAAAGATACCTGCATACTGACACCTCAAAGATGGATTGGTTGTTGAGTTTGCCAGACACAGTCTAGACGCGCTGCGTGGGGATAGCTACATGCGGAAACCTCACGATTTGAGTGATGTTGGATAGTGCCAGACACATGGACGCGCTGAGCGGGGATAGCTAAATACTGAAACCTCACAGGTGATTTGTATTGGAGATTGCCGGACACCTAGACGTGTTGAGTGAAGATAGCTGCATGCTGAAACCTCACAGATGGATTGGATTTTGAGTCTGCCAGACACATAGACGCGCTAGGTGGGGATAGCTACATACTGAAACCTCACGAGTTGAGTGATGTTGGATAGTGCCGGACACATAAACGCTTTGAGTACGGAAAGACACATACTGAAACCTCACGGGTGATTTGTATTGGAGATTGCCGGACACATAGACGTGTTGAGTGAGGATAGCTGCATACTGAAACCTCACAGATGGATTGGTTTTTGAGTTTGCCAGACACATGGACGCGCTGAGTGGGGATACCTACATACTGAAACCTCACGAGTTGAGTGATGTTGGATAGTGCCGGACACATAAACGCTTTGAGTACGGAAAGACACATACTGAAACCTCACGGGTGATTTGTATTGGAGATTGCCGGACACATAGACGTGTTGAGTGAGGATAGCTGCATACTGAAACCTCACAGATGGATTGGTTTTTGAGTTTGCCAGACACATGGACGCGCTGAGTGGGGATACCTACATACTGAAACCTCACGAATTCAGTGATGTTGGATAGTGCTGGACACATTGACGCTTTGAGTGAGGATAACTGCATATTGAGACCTAACGGGTTGAGTGACGTTTGCGACTGCCGGACACATAGACGCATTGAGAGACGACAGCTGCATTCTGAAACATCACAGGTTGATATGTATTGGAGATTGCCGGACACATAGACGTGT